CCTCTTGTATCTCCCACACTCCTCAGGAGATGTAAGAAAATGTTTTTCTCCCTGAGCCTGGACTTCATAATTCCATTCCATCACATCTATATCTATAATAGCAGATAACTTTGAAATTAAATTCTGAGCCCATTGTTTATAAATCTCTCTTAATGTATTCATTGATTTATTTCCTTCTGTTGCCCTTTAGTGTCCAACCTTCAAAGTCCTCTTATCAGTTGTTTCCAAATATAAACATAGACAGTTTCCTATGGGAAAGATTCTTTAAATTAACTTCAGAGTCTTAATTCAAGTCCATCTGAGCCCTTAATCCATTTAAAACTTTCTAAAATTAACACTCTAATCATCCTTTTGCAGCATATTCCATTTTTTTTTTTTTGCAAATCTTTAAACTCATAGTTAAAGCTTCTTAAAGGATTCAAGAAAACTCACCCAATGAATTCAATAAAACTTGCCATTCTGAACGTTCTCAATCTTTAAAAAGCAGTAAAAAAAATTAAATCCAAAGTGATTAAGAGGTGAGCCTCAATCAGACCTTGAGTCCATATAGTCTACATTAATGGCTGTAAGCTCGATGAAATCCTGTGACTCCCAGCAGTTTGTAAGCTGATTGCAAAAACATCAGTTCCTGCTGTATGCTCACAAAAAACAGCTGTCCGATGTACATGTGTGTAATCTTGAGATCTCATCTTTCTCCAGAGAGATTTCAGTTGTCTGGATCCAGCATCTGGATGCCGTTTTCACCTGTAATGTCCCTCTCATCCACAGACGTCAGTTCTCCATGGCATTCATTGGAAGTCTCAATGAATGCTTTCATGATGCTTTCAGAGTATCTCATCATGAATGTCCAAGTATCACTTAAATGTTAAATATGGATAAGATGAGATTTAACTTCTGGCCAGATCACCCTTTATACCTGCTTATGTTAATTCATGTTGTCATCGTTGCTGTGTAGGATCTGTCAGCATGGCCCTGGGAGTACAATCAGGGTTTATCAACTTCATTTGTTGGGATGTCTTTGGATCCATTGATTCCTGACTTCCAGCACTACTAAGACACCTCTTTATAATTCTTGTGATGTCACAATAATGTAATAGCCTCTTGGTGGAGCTTCCTTAAACTTCTGTACATTACACACTTTTGGTCTTTCCCCGGTTTTCTCATGTCACCAGTTACCACAAAACCTGTTATTGGCAACCCATCAGGGCTAAAATAATTTAAATTGTTAGTATTAAGGGCTTTATGGTTTTTATTTTCTGGTTACTTCCAGGAATTTGCAGCCTGATATAGGGACATTTGTTTTTACTTTAAACTATTTTGAGATTCAGTGCAGTTTTTGTGGAATACTCTTCTAGCTCCTTTATGCTTGAAGGAGGATTAGGGAATTTCTGGGGACCTCAGAGCTATTTTTTTCTGCCCTCATTTTCAAATAATTTTATATTGGCTTGTTACTTAATTGGTTGGATTATTTTATAGTATTTAATTTAATTTTAGAATACAATTCTATTTTAGGTATTGTAGATTGTTTTGTGTTTTATATAGAATGTATGTCACTCTTTCAGAGGATGCCTTGTAACTAAAATATGTACATCTGTTAAAAAAAAGTTTTAAAAAGCAAAGCATAATTGAAGGTTTAGGAACAAGATTACTTTGGATAGGATTTTCACTGGCCCCTAGGAGAAAATTAAGTGACCATCTTGGACTTCTCTGTGCTACATGCATTGTCTGTTCAGTATATACTTAAATCTTGCTATACATTAGTATGCTGGGGGGCATGGATTAGACATGAACTGAGTTTACACATATGATTTTAATGTTTACATTAATAGATATTATTGTCTTACAAACTAAATTTAGCACGGAACAATTCTGAATGATAGAACTAACATATGAATTTTAGCTTTTTTTGGAGACAATTTACTTAATGTATGCTGTCAGACTATATCTAGGTTCTTCGTACTGTC